TTTACTAGTAAAATCTTCAATTTTTATAGAATTTTAAAAAGTCGTTTTAAGTAATCTTATTCTACTATTCTCGATATATTTAGCTTCAAAATTTGAAAATAAGTTAATTTGTAAGTTAGGATCTTGAGCTTAAAATTTATAGTAAATTTATATGTTTTTATTATAATTTTTAACAGTCACATATCAACATGTGTGACATATTTCCTGACTGTTAAGCTTTTACATAGGATATATCCCCGGGTATTTTACATTCCACCATGAAATTTTTTAATAGCACTTATTTGCGCGAGTAATACAAACCCTAAAAAGAAAATGGCCACAAACTTAATAATTGGTTATATAACGGTCATTAAATTTTTACTTTACTAGATCGAAGATATCTCGCGATCTAGTGATTGGAATTAATAATTTTTGTATCGTTCGATTCGTCTCATCGAGACGAATCGAATGTTATAAAAATTGTTAAACTCCAACCACTCGTTCATGAAATATCATCAATAATATAATCCCAATTTTGCTTATATTTATCTTAATAAAACTTCCGTTTTCTTTACAAATTTATAATCTCTACTTAATGGTCTAACCAGTAAAGCATATTCTTTCAAATCGGTTTTAATACCTTAGAATTACAACGGTTAAAATTTAGTAAAATCTAACTTAATACAACAATAATTCGTCATGATATAATTTTTTATATTTTAAAGAATATCAAAAGTGGTTAACTTAACCTTTTACTCGGTTCTTTGCATAAAGTTATTTGAGATCGTTTTGCGCTTCTTCCACGAAGTGCCGGATCTTAGTCACATGCCATTTTCTCTTTATTTTAACGCTGAAATATCTTTGTTTTCTCAGATTATGAATTAAACTACCACCGATCTCTTATAAAACTTGTCTCTAAGAAAACTTTTTAAATATTGTAATTATTTTCGATTAATCTTAAAGAAATATAGGTATTCGAAAGCTTTTTCGGTAGCTTTCTTTCTTTAATAGATTTGATTGATAAATTTCAAAACATCACGGGAATAAAAAGTACTGTTATTCCCGAAACTACCTCTTATAAGTTCGATATAACGGTTTACTATAGCGACGGATATATTAGATGGTTGATATCAAATGACGATTTATGCTTAAGTAAATATATGGTTTATTGCAGTTACGCTTTAAGAGGATTAAGGTGATTTGCAGTTACGAAAGAGGCAAACGGCTAAATGTATATGAAGATACAAGTAGTCGTATTAACAAGTTTATTATTATACTCAAGTTATTCGTGTATGAAGACACTATAACAGGGTTATGGTTTATTCGAGTTATCCGCGTATGAAGACACTATAACCGATCTACTATTTGATTCGAGTTATCTGTGTATGAAGACACAATTACTCGTTAGGGAATGGTTATTTGTATGATTTATTCAATAAAGTATTCGAGTTGTTCGTGTATGAAGACACGACTACTCTTTATTTATTGTCAAGTTGTTGGAACTTCGAGTTCTGTCCTTACATGAGAAATATCTATACTTTTTAGACTTTCGATCTTTGCTACTATTTTTATAAATTACATTTTTGTTCGAACCACTAAATCTAAGAAGACCACTATCGTTACTGGCGCTATTTAGCGCTATTAGCGATATTTAGCGCTACTAGCGCTACTTAGCGCTATTGCAGTGTTCTTTTGTTACATTGTGGTTATTTCATCACATGATGCTAATTACAGGGGTTAACAGTACTTTAAAGCGTATAAAAAATTACAAAATTTTTTTTTATTAAATTGGCTAAGCCACTGTAGATCATCACTGAATATCGGTTTGTCCACCATGCACTTAGTTTATCGTTATCGTTATTTACAAAATTCGATTTCCTTTTTTGTTTGCGCTGCTCGCGCAAATAAGTAAACTGGTATCGTGGTCCGCGCTGTACAGTAATAATTATATAATATTGAATCATGTGCCGTTTCTGAAAAGTGAGAATTGAATGTCTTGCTTTTTCGAAAGTTTATTTTTTTTCTAAAAGATGCCAGAATCCGTTGCAGTTGCTGTCGTTGTCAGATACTCGCCTAGTTTAAAAGGAAAAATATTAGAATGGACGTTATTGAGATTATAAAATATTTTGGTTTGGATTATACGTATACAGGGTGAGTTTCTCATGGAGTGTTTGTTAAGTTATCGTGTATCTGAAGATACGCTGTCACATCGATGTAAGAATCGAAAGCACTTCGTGGCCAACATTTTAGGCTTTTGAACGTTCTTCTCTTGGTTTTCGATGTTCCTGAAATGACCCATGCTCTGTCAGGAATTTATGATGAATAGGATACACGCTAATTATTGAAAGCACATAACCGTAGAATATTCCGGTCCGGCGTGCATGTTCTTTAATTGTTAATGATGATGACACATTCACTCACTTATTGTCAATTAATAAGGGTAAAGACGACGGTGAGGCAGACATAATTATAATGACTAGAGATATCGAGATTGTAATCCAGTGCAAGAACTGGATACATAGAATAGGTTTGTTTTGAATTTGATGTTAATTTGATGTTAATTAAAAAGAGATATTTATACTTATAAATAATATAGGACCTGCCGTCGTTCGAGAGCTAAAGGGTGTAATCTGCGAAAAAGACCCCGGTACGATCGGTATCGTGGTGTCTTCACATCGTGATTTTTTCGATAAGGCCATAGAAACAGCAGATTTACCTGATTACCCTATCATATTGACTGACATCTCTCACCATCAGTTAGTAATCCTTCATCTTACCACAGATATTCTCCAAAATAGACCCATTGAATTTTATTCTATCATGACCCTGTAAATCATTAATTTCGTCGTATTTTATTTTTATTTTATATATTGGCCCTAGTGGTTGATTTCGCATACATAATCGTGTTTACTTTTGCATGTGTATTTCGTGAATTTATTGTGTTGTACTATCATCGATGAACTAGAGATTGGAATCGATGAGTTTCGAGCATTGATTGGTTACAAAATCTAGATTTTCGAGCATCGGTAAAAAATTTTAACCGATGTTCGAATGTTCATTGAGTTTTTAAAAAATAAAAAGAATTTAATATAACATGAAATTTATTAATTGTATCATTATCTCTACATTACTTAATTACCATGACTTATAATTTGCGACATTATAAAAACAACTTGTGCTATTATCGCTACATACAATTTACATAA